TGGGGGTGGGTGTCTAGGGTTGCGGCTGGGCACCCTTTCCTTCCACCTCGCGAAATACTCCCAGACGACCAAGCGTCTCGAATAGTCTCTGCTGAGGAAGCCCTACTCACTGTCTTCTCGTGGCGGTATTTTCCCTCCAAAGTAAGACGAAAAGCCGACATCCAGGGCTATAACCGGGTTGGTGGACCACTGGTAGTTCACCTAGGGGAGTTGGCCCAAAACCCTGATTCCAAACGAACCATAAAGAGACGTACGGACCACACCCACCTTTACGGTTGTGGCAGTGGTCACGGGCTCAAGTGGACACCTTGGACGATTGACCCCGTCCAAAAGGCGTATGATCAGATCAACTGGACACCGGCTCCCAATGGATTGCGGTTTTCACACATATATACACACACACACACGCTACCTTGCGGGTCAGGCTTGGCTAGCTGAAGGCTCCGGTTGGGAATTCCTCAAGAAAATTCACCTGCCTTGGCCTGGGCAACCTGGCAGTATTCAGCTCACAAGCCAAGCATGGAATGTTCTTTTTTATAAAGATTATTGTACCATGATTTGCCTGGCACAGTCGGTCTTCAGACAAGTGTGAAATGTAATAATATAAATATAGGTACGTGAGGAAGAAGAAAGGCCCGCAACGGAAAACAACAGGCTCATGTATGACATGCAATCGGAGCGTGATCAAACAGGGCAGTCAAGCTGGCACCGAGTTAGTCATAAAGAATAGTTTGGCATTGGAGACTATTAGGTGGAAGCGAACCGATGTTAAAATAGAGTGCCGCGACTGAAACACCTGGCCGGTAATGATCAATAAATAGGAGACATTTGACGGTACAACTTCTACGCTTCAGATCCAAGTCGTTCCATCAGGATATGTTCAGGGGAGCGTAACTATGATTCATTAGATTTAGAAAAAACATTTGAAGGTGTTCAGGGACCGCATCGCAAACAGCCTGGTGACACTAACAAAACACTGATTAGGGTAAAGATTATCTTTGGATTCAACTTAGCCGCTGAGTAATGAAACTAACGGAGAAGCGATCAGCTCAAGCAATGATGAACGAAACGCAAAACGAACAACGAGGTGTGAACGAACAGTCTCCGGGAGTTCTTTGATCATATACAATTTTTATTATTATAACGGTGAATGTACAAATTAAACATTGTATTTAAGAATATACACATAAGTGAAGCGAAGAATATAGAATACTTTACATTCCAAATAGTAGCACTACATTTTTGCTAAAATGCAAAAACCACAAACGACAAGTAAAGAACAGAGGGCTAAACCGGAGAGAAAAGTACATGTATTTACAGACAAGACTGTACAAGGGAACCTTAAAAAGATTTATATGAATCTAGAATGAGAGACCAAGAAAGGAAGTAGATGGAAATATAGATGACTCATTATACACTGTCGATGGTAGACCCTCTAGTGTCGTCAACCAACCAAGAATCCAATGTTGATGGTCGGGGGCGTTTTGCTTTTGCCTGCCTACCTGCATCTTGCCTTGGAGGGCGCTTCGTAGCACCGTTCGCATCAGGATCGTTTTGGGCACTGTCAGATACGTAGGCGTTTAACTTATCGAGTTCAAATTGAGGCAACCCTTGAGAGACGTAAATATCCGATAGACTCTCAGAACATTCCAAAAACAGTTGCTGTTAAAAAAGGAGGAAAGAAATCAAAAACACGGGAGTTACAGTTTATATATCTCTTAGGAAATGTGGCTTTCAAAATCGAACGAAAGTGCTATTCTGTAAAATAGATTCCATAATGGTAGCTTCTACTGGACTAGATTATATGCAGTAAAATCACACCAAAGTATAAGAATCCAGTCAAAAAATCGGTTATTGGTTTCAACACCATTGAATTTGATGAGAGAACATGTAGAGAGCACAGAAGACATCAAGTATAAGGAAAAAGCTCATTGCAAGGATCACTCACATTTTGTCGATTAGGATGCTGTCCGAGAAAGCAAAAGTGTCAGTCGTGAAGACTGGTAAAAATCACATGGAACATTATCGCTGTTTTGCAAATTGACAAACACTGTAAATAACCTATCTTAGTCTGTGCAACCTGCACCAAACACGATGAGCACCGCAAGTCAGTTTTCTTTCAGTTTGAATAACCATTAACCATGCACTTTCGTGCGCCGGTTTTGGTTGCTGTCTTTTGGCTGCCCATTGGGATGAAGAATAGGAGAACAAAGGAAAGTTGAAAGTGGATTCGAAAGGAAAATGAAGAAGTTCAGTGGACTAAGGTTGGGAAGAAATTGAGGAGATGCACGAACGCCACTGGTTGCGACACCCAGCCATGTCACTCAATGTCTCTAACCATCGGTTACGATCATCCCGAGGTCCCCAGCCAGGGAGCCTAACAGAACCTATGTGACCCAGTTTCCTGGTTAGGGTTTTCATACCCTCGTGCCAGGTCTTAACTTGACCACCCTTGGCTTTTTTCCACTCTGTATCTTCTTCGACGACCATCGCTCGCTGTGGTAACCTACCTGGTGACATGCGTAGTCATGTCCCCAGCCAAACGTAATCTATGGAGGTCGACCACTTGCTCCAGTGGGCGACCGTATTTACCCAAACTCTGCGTCTAACCTCATCTATGGAGGTCGACCACTTGCTCCAGTGGGCGACCGTATTTACCCAAAACTCTGCCCAACCTCAGCATTGGCTCATCCGGCTCCAGTGGGTGACCGTATTTACCCAAAACTCTGCCCATAACCTCAGCATTGCTCATCCGGCTATCACCAGATTCGTGCAATGCTGCGTAGACAGCGGTGTTCAAACACCGACAGTCTATCTTTACCTTGTTTTCTTAAAGGCCAAGTTTCTGCACCGTATAGCAGGACTGGCCGAAATGTCGCGGCATACACTCGACCCTTTACAGACAGCCGGATGTCGCGATGGCGCCAAAG